TTGTTGTTGTTGTCGTCGTCGTGCTTATTGTTTTTGTTGTTGTTGTCCTCGTCGCGGAAGGGGAGGCAGGGCAGCTGTTGGGGCTCAGAGGGTTTCCATTGTTATTGTTTTCTTTCCCCTTTTGTGTGTCCTGAACTCTGAACTGCAGAAAAGAGACCTGCACTTCTGTTAGTGGCACGGCTTCTGCAAGGAAATTCCAACCGCTAGAATGTCCCGTCAGTTGCAGAGACAACCGCAGCAGTCTCGGAAAGAGGTCTGTGGGGGTGGTTGCTGGGCTCCCGGGCCACTTCCCTCCCCCCTCCGCATGGAAACAGAACCCACCAGACAAGTGGGAGAGGGGGAGGGAACCTGGCTGAAATGTCTGGCCCCGAAAAACGAATGCTTTGGGATAAAATGTCCCGTTAACCGGTTAACCGAGAGCACACGAAGCAAGAGCACGCTGGCAGCAGAGGCTCGAAGCACCCCGCGAGGCCCCAAAGTCTTGGGCTGCTCCGTGTGACAGAGAGATGGGTCTCCCCCAGACAGGTTCACAATTCCAGAGCCGCCCGAGGCCATTTGGAGGGGAAGTTGAACCGCTCACCTTGTGAGGAGTCAGCGTGATCTGTAGAGATAATGGAGCGTTCAGCCTGACATCCGAAACCCCGTGTATCTAGGAAGAACGGATTCTTGCTGGGAGGGGAGACAGTAATTGTTTTTAGCATGACAGATGAGACATTCTGCAGATTCCCCACACCTGGGAAACAACTCCTTCCCGGTGCTCAATATTTAAATGAAGGTGTGCAAAGTCTTCAGCTCCTGTCCGTCTCCTCCTTCAAGATTACTTTTAAAGAAGAATGTCCTTCCCCTGTAATGTTACACAGAGAGAGGCAAAGGTGGCATCAATTTTAGAGGATTGTTTGCTTTTTAATCTGATCAAAACAATTAAGTCACGGAGAGTCATCTAAGAGACTGTAGGAAACATTAATCGCATAGCTGGACTGGGCTTCGTGACTGTGGGGAGCCTCGTAAATAACCCTAGGACTTGAGCCGAAGAATATAAAAGGGGAGAGAAAACAGAAGCCAGTGGTGAAAGATCCCTGATGTCTCCTTTGAGGTGAAAGTATATAAATATATAAACAGTTGGTTCCCTCAAGGTCGTTTACAGTTTAGTCCCTCCTCGGGTGTTCCCATTTAAAGCTGTGGTCAAGTGAATTAGCCAGAGATGTTACTATTACTTGAAAAGAAAACCAGCATTCCTATAAACATGCCAGTCTCAAATTGAACGTGTGTGTGTGTGTGTGTGTGTGTGTGTGTGTGTGTGAGTGAGAGAGAGAGAGAGATAGAGACAGAGAGACAGAGATGTCCCTCCCTCAGTCTCCTATCCCAGGGTGGACAAGATATTTGACCTGCATAAACATTCATTTGGGGAAATGCAGCACTATTTTCTCCTCCTCCTGACCTAAAGCCTCTTCTTCAAAACATCAAACCAAACAATACACAGAATAATGTTGCCTCTGAGAGGGGTTTTCCCTCTCATTTCCCTCCCACTTCTGCTAGGTCAGTCTGTCTTTCTTTGCCTCCCACCCTCCAGCCCCTCCTCACCCTCCCCAGCAAACTCTGGAAAAACAGTAGTAACTAACATTTGTGCCTTTGGCAATAAAACCACAGGCCTCGCAAACCCCAAATGGCAAAAAGACATTTCCATTCCAATCCCAGTTTTAAATTAAACTGTAATGAAAAATCAGCAGTGGCAGCTGGGACCAGAGACACTGATTGTCTCTAGGAACAAAAAAGGAGGGGAACAGAGGGGGAGAGGAAAAAGAAAAGAGACTGCAAGGAAGCCTCGCTCTGGTAATAAAGCAGCTGGTAAACCTTCAAGTAAAAAGAAATTAGAAAAACAAATCTAGTATAGAGACAAGCAAAGATGGCTGTTTCCCTCTACAATCACAGTGAGGCGGTCACAAATCACCCACCACTTTATGAATGGACTCAGAGGGGGCAGGGAAGGAGGCAGATGTGTGAGCCTCTACTGACACCTGGAGGAAGATCAGGGAAATTCTCAGGGGTGGGGCTGGGGGGGGGGGGCAGTAGTTGGCCCCACCTCTGTGTCCTGGGAAGGAGTGGGGATTTGGGCTTTCCTTAGGATCTGTGATCTTAGGCAATAGTGAGGGATCTAGAGGCTTTCTGGAAAAACAGGAGGACCTCATTGCCTCCATAGTCTCTGTAAATAAAAACTGTGTGTCAAAAGCATTTGACTCCAACACAAGTTTTGTTTGTACCAAGGAATGTGCAACCTGATTTTTTTAAGATGTTTTGCTCTTTGCTTGTATTTTTTTAATGTTTATTTATTCACTGAGAGAGAGAGACTAAGAGAGCAGGGGAGGGGCAGAGAGAGAAAGGAAGAGAGAGGATCCCGAGAAGGCCCCATGCTATCAGCGTAGAGCCCGATGTGGGGCTCGATTGCACAAACCGTGAGACCACCACCTGATCCAGAATTAAGAGTCAGACCAACTGACTGAGCCACCCAGGTACCCCTTTCAGCCTGATTTTTAAAAGTGTATGGCATAGGCACCTAACCAGAAATGAGGGGGGAAACCCCAAGATTCGAGCATTTTAATCTACAGTTTTCTAAACTTGCAAGGCTCTGCAGATCATTCAACATGTAATTTATGCATATATATCTGAGTGGAGGTGATCAGAAATCCAGAAAAGACCTATACTAATCTGTAAGCGTCAAAGATGCTGCCAAGTAGTTAAGGATCAAGACAGTCAGTGGACTTCTAGGTTACAGATAAGAACTAGACCCTGGGAAGCCAGCTTCCTGAACCTTAATTTGTTTCCAGAGCACTTCAAGAAGCTGATGAAGTTAGTGGACCCTACCCAGAAAAACCCTCCACTACAAGAGTGTGTGTGTGTGTGTGTGTGTGTGTGTGTGTGTGTGTGTGTGTGTGTGTGTATACAATCGTAGATGCTCACAAAACCCCTTGGGCCAATCTGTAAGACCCAGGTTGGCTTCTGTAAAGAAACAAAAGCAGAGAAATACTGCAACCCATCCACAATGAAGACTATCGTGATCGCACATGTGAAGAAACTCGGATGAAATTTAAAATGACGATTGCCTATTGAGATGTCAAATGAGAATTCTTTACAGATAGGAAAACTGCCGAAACCAAAACCACACAAGAGCTGTGCAGAATAAACGGCTCCTTTAAAGCATGCCCTTGTGATTGCGACTTACTCTTGATAGACACCGGGGAGACAGACCTATGACATTTGGGGGCTCCCTCTCTGAAAACCGTCAGCAGCACGTATGATGATGCCAAATGATTGCTAAAGTAGAAAATTCCATATAAAATTAAAATTATTTATGTTAACTTATCATCAGGTGCTTTTTGTCATGCCTCTGGGATGTAGAGTTGAGTGGGGGCCTAGTAAAGCTCTGGAGGATCCTTTGGGGAGACATTTAATGAAGTCGGTCTTGGTACCTTGAGAGAAGTGATGCATCCATTTCCCAATGGGTCCAGCTGACCTTTACCAACTGTCCCAATAAGAGCTATTGTTTCATTGTTAGTATTTTTTAAGTGATCTTAGGTTTGGCTATTACCTTGTGATCCTCTTTGCTAATTTCTAAAGTAAGATACTAAAATTGTATTAATTGATATAGCTTAATACTGACATGTCAGCTGTTTAAAGTGTGCAGTCCAGTGGGTTTTAGTATATTTGGGGTTGCACAACCATCACCTTAATCTAATCATGCAACATTTGCATCACCCCTTGCCATCAGCAGTCATCCCCCATGTCTCTCCCCAGCCTTCGTCTCCTTTCTGCCTCTATAGATCTGTCTATTCAGCATATTTCCTGTGTTGCAGTGAGAGTAGTTGAAAGTAAAAAAACAAAACATAACAAAAAGACTTTGGAAGACTGTGTGAATGGAAATGTTTTCAACCCCACCTTTGTGGTCTAGTTCGTTGATTGTAGATTCTACTCTTCCTTCCTCCTTTTTTTTCTCACTTCCTTTTTGCTGCCTTAATTTCGGTCTCTGTGTGTTATCACTAGAGGGTGATCTGGAGCAGAGAGAACCACAACTTCCTTAGAAAAGATTAGATGCTGAAGTTGAGCTCAACGGCTATAGTTAAAAGTCTTTTGATTCTTTTTATATTTCATTGTACATACATATTTGTTGTGGCTATTTGAGTCCACTTCTCCTCTGATTTTATTTAGCAAAAGTTATCCACTTCATAGAAATGACTATGAAGATTAAGAAAATCAAGGGGCACCTGGGTGGCTCAGTCAGTTGAGCGTCCGACTTCGGCTCAGGTCATCATCTCACGGTCTGTGAGTTTGAGCCCCGCATCGGGCTCTGTGCTGACAGCTCAGAGCCTGGAACTTGCTTCCAATTCTGTGTCTCCTTCTCTCTCTGCCCCCCCACTGCTCATGCTCTGTCAAAAATAAACATTAAAAAATTTTTAAAAAATCAAGACGATTTTATTTCATTGGTTAGGCAATATTATGAGCTTTTTCCACACCAGACTTAGCCATGAGCCATGATATGTATCCAAGCTTGTTTTTATCTGTTATTGTATGATATTTGGTTATGTTTCGTAATATGGTGCCCTCCTAATAAACGGGTGCTTTGTAGAATCAAACACTTATTTATTGCTTTCTGAGGTGTAAATAAAACTACCTGATACAGGTTTTAAGACCTTTGCTCTTCCCCAGTCTCTGAATTGTGTTTATTTATTTTGGGTTTGCACAAAGAAACAAACAAACAAAACCACATGAATTCAAGGTTTCTCCTCACCTTTCCATTTCCCAAACATTAAGTAAATCATAATCATCCAAACTTCCTGTCAGAAATTGCTTACACACATAGTATGAAGAATGCAGTCAG